ATCCTGGGTTCAAAATTTATTTCATGACCTTGAGCAAGTCATTCTGTTTTTATGGGACTCAATTTACTTATCTGGAAAGTGGGGATGATGATATTAACTCTTTAGAAAAACCCAACAGAAATGTTGTGAGAACTGAAACATTTAAAATATAAAATGAGCTTAGCATAACATCTTGCACATGGAGAGTGGTAAAAGGACCTTTTATCAAGCTAAAATCTTCTTGAAATTTTAAGATTTTAAGCTTTAATATTTTTATATCTTTCATAAAAATATCTATTTTCTAAGAAGGTAAATGATATTTGGTCTCCATCAGACAATGACTAGCCTTAAGAGCATTGCTACAGGGGCGCCTGGGTGGCTCAGTGGGTTGAGGCCTCTGCCTTCGGCTCGGGTCATGATCCCGGGGTCCTGGGATCAAGCCCCGCATCGGGCTCTCTGCTCAGCGGGGAGCCTGCTTCCCCCTCTCTCTCTCTGCCTGCCTCTCTGCCTACTTGTGATCTCTGTCTGTCAAATAAATAAATAAATAAATCTAAAAAAAAAAAAAAAGAGCATTGCTACATTTACTAAGAATTAAGATAGTGGGCTCTAGAAAGATAATGGGGGAGCACCTGACAGGCTCAGTTGATAAAGCAACCAACTCTTGATCTCAAGGTTGAGTTTGAGTCCACACTGGATACAGAGATTACTTCAAAAAGAGAGAGAGAATGGCACCTGGGTGGCTCAGCTGGTTAAGTGTCCAACTCTTGATTTCAGCTCAGGTCATGATCTTGGGGTTGTGGGATCGAGCCCCGCATCGAGCTCTGTGCTCAGCACGGAGTCTGCCTGGGATTCTTTTTCCCTCTGCCCCTCCCCCTTCTCACGCATTCTCTCTCAAATAATAAACCTTTTAAAAAGGAGGGGGGTAGGATAATAGGAATAAGTGTTACCAGGCTCATCAACTCTACAAATGAATGAATCCAGGACTCATTTGGGTATCCTGTGCTGTTCAGTATTCTTTTTTTTTTATTGCTAATCATCCTAATTAGTAACTTTTCTCATTTTCTGAATCTACCTTTCTTTTCCTCTCAGTAGGGAGAATAAAGACCACTGAGATTGAGCTTCCTACTTACTTAAAAAAATAGTAACGTCAAAAAGTGAGTGTCCACACTCAGCTTGTAACAGAGCAAATGGATAAATGGAGTAATCATGCTACAGCCTATTATTATATGAATGTGCACCAGGAAAAGTTGGTTAAGTAAGGCAGAGGAACTTAAGAATTAGGACCTAGGGCCTCCATGATCATCTGGCATCCGCTCGATGTTGTACCTATGGTTAGAAATGTACATGACTGGAACACCAGGGATTTTCCAGATTCTTCACTTAAGGTCCCAGTCAACTGTGGCCACAATGTTTGTGAGTTACTCTCTGTACTAAGCAGTCACCTGCATAGGTTCCTTTTTGTGTGGATGGTAACCATGCAAATCTTGGATCCCTGGCGATATTTAGAGTCACATGATAGTGTGGCCCCAATTTCTCAGTTTCGGCCATTATGCAGTTATTCAAGGGATACAACACTGAGTATACTAAGTCGAGCTTGGCTTTAATGGGAAAGTTGATAAAGTTAGTATCAACCAGTATGTGGTCTGGTGCGCCCAGCTACCTGTTATATTGGAAGAATAAGCAGGAAGGATGTTGGGAGACCTCTCTTTCCTTGTGCACTAGGATCTTTCTTTTCTTTTTTAATCTATTCCTCTCTTTAAGTCTCTCCTCTCTGAGACTAAGTATTCACTTCATGGTCACAACCTTTGCCGTCTGTTTCCCCATGTTCACATTGCACCTGTTTCTTCCGGGATCACCTACTTACTCCTTCTTAAAAAGCCTGTATCTTGAAGCTTTCTGGAGGCCATTAGATAATTCAACTATTCAGCATCCTGTGCCAAGCTAATCGATTTACCATCATTCCCCAATACTTCTCCATTACCTTGGCTAACTAGGACTGTGTATAGGTGTCAAGAACTTTAATATATGATTATTTTTTTTACTAAGAATGGAAATTCTAGAGAAAAAGAATCATAAACGTGTGTTGCTGATTTATTGAAATAACTTAAATACCAAAGAATACATAATTACATAAATAATGATACAGACATGGACTATTCTGCAGCCTTTAAAAATAATGCTATAAGCTATTAAAAATAATGTTGTAAAAGAATATTTACTGAAATATAAAAATCTTTACGTGAAGAAGTGGGCTACAAAACAGCATGGATAATATATCATTTTCGTGAAGAAACTAATGCATGGAAAAACTACTAGGACATATATAAAAACACGATCATCATAGTTATCTTTGACTGTCAAATGAGTTTTTTTCTTTGTACTCCTTTGGTGTTTTCCCAAAATTTCTGTGTTATACTTGTATTAATTTTGCAAATAGAAGAAAGCAAAATGGATGCTGACTTAATGAGAGAAAGGAAAAGGGAAGGTGCCAGAACCCCGGGGAGTATCTACATTTAAGGTGTTTGAATGAGGAAGAGGAACTGACATCTTAGACTTGTACATTTTAAGAACTGGGTTTTCTTTCTGCTAGTTCTTGCTAGCTGCCTGTTAGTATTATATACTTAACCTACCCTTAAGCATCTAGCTTAAAATAATGGGAAAATTCACACATTTTTTTTTTTTTGTAAAACAAAACATACCCACAAATTAGTATTTTTTTCTTTTTTTTTTAATTTTTATTTATTTATTTGACAGAGAGAGAGATCACAAGTAGGCAGAGAGGCAGGGAGAGAGAGAGGGGGGAAGCAGGCTCCCCGCTGAGCAGAGAGCCCCATGCAGGGCTCGATCCCAGGACTCTGAGATCATGACCCGAGCCGAAGGCAGAGGTTTAACCCACTGAGCCACCCAGGCGCCCCCAAACTAGTATTTCTTTTAGTTCTAGGAATCCCATGAACAGATGCTGGGCATACACATAACACAATCTCTGAAGTCCTAAAGAGGTTTTTTATTTTAATACAGTGTAGGTAAGAAATCCTCCTGGGTAGAGAGGTACTTCTGGAAATTGTATTAATTCTTTCAGGTTAAAGTAGTATCATTTGTAAATATTTCTATAGAAACACTGTTTCTGTAGCATTGAAAGAACCCATTCCATCCCATTGTAGAGAGTTTTGGAGTAACCCAAGGAATGATCGAGCTAATCCATCTCACAATTTTGGCTCCTGCTCTAAAAGCAGAGTTATCGTATAAAACATACAGCAGCCTCAAAATATGACTCATACTCACAGAAACTAACAAACAGCCAAAATAAAATAGGTCTCCATGAAAGTAAAATGAAACAAAATAAAAATAAAAACTGCATTTACATACACTAAATGCACTTACATAAAAAATAAATAAGAGTAAGATACAGATATACCATTTGTTAAAGAATGACATGTATCAGGCAACAGAGAATTAGGCAAACTGGAAAATCTGATGTGTTCTTGTCATGTAAATTAAGGAAATTATAGAGAAAATAGAATCCATGGGTTTAAGAATGTATTGTGAAGAGCCTTTATTTCTAGATTTTCTCTACAACCCTTTCAGAGAACAGCTTAGATGAATAAATACTTTGAGAAGCACCTGCTTTGAAACAAGACTTTCCCACTGGCCACGTTAATAATGAACAATCACGCAGGGGTCAAGATGACTTTTTAAGACTTGACTGCAGGTATTTCTTACATAATTCAACTTCCATGGCTGTAGAAATGTACCGACTTTGAAATCTGGGCTTCGGGGATCCTGAAGTTAAAATCCAAAGCACTGTTTGCAACCAAAAGGAACTAGGAAATACTTGAAAAATGGGCATCGACCAGCTAGCTTAACTGCAGCCAGAAATACTATCACCATGAAAAGTCAGTCCCCAGGGACCATTAGCTCCTGACGGGCAGGTCTGTGTATTTGTGTTTCGATCACTGCTGTGCCCCAGCATCCAGAACAGTGTCTCCCACATAGTAGACACTCAGCATTTTAAGCAACGAATGAATCAAAGAGACCACTCCTGGTGTACATCAGGAGTCAATCCAAATTCATTTCATGTATCAATACCACATAATCTCCCACCAACTGCGGAAGCTGCTACTGAATGACATGTTAGGAAGCTAACTGTACTATAACCGTATAAGTCTGAGTAAAATGAGTGATAAAAAATGATGGTTTTTACTCCTGAGGAGCCAGGACCCAAGTATTTGTGAAATTGTTATGCCTGTTACTGAAGAAAACATGACATCATTATGAAGACATAATGTTTCCGGTATTTCCGTCTTCTTACAGCCCTCCCCAAGGTACCGGGACTGCTTCCTTCTGACACTGGGGCATCATGTAAGGCACTCGTGCCAGCATCTGCCTGGCAGCGCTCACAGATGGAAGACATTCATCCCCTGTTTGGTGTCCCCACCTTGTCCATCCAGCTTCCAATACAACGGTGCTGAGCTAGAAGAGTCAGTAGCTGCCCTTCCAAGAGCTAGTGCATCACTCCCAGAGCAAAAAGGAGCCAGTTCACACTTCGGAGGCCTGCATCAGTGCCAGAGTATCCATGTTGCCTCAGGGTTTCAGACTCCCCAGTGATCTTTCGCACCACAGATACCAAGGCAGAGATGGATCTAAAAGCTGCAGAAAAATAGGTGGGTTCTCACACCCATGGCGGCCCCACGCAACATAGTAAATGGTGTTTGTCCACACTGTGGATTAACTGCTTTGAAGAGTCAAAATGCAGAAGACAGCTACATTCAACATTTAAGGTTTTCTTGATAATAAAGCACTAAAAAAAATGTGAATAAGTCATACTTTTATTTTTCAGAAGCAAAAATGACAAGGGGCAACTTGCCTTTGGAAAAGGCATTAAAGAGTATCGGGGTAATAAGCTATCTATCTCATAGAGACAGTAGCCTAAGACTCAATTATCACACAGCTCTCAAAGAAAGTCCAATTAAATAAAATGCTTCTAAGTAAAACAACCAAAAAAAAAAAATCAACAACAAAAATTTATATAGAATCCATAAAGTGGTATACGAAGAAGAAAAAGGAAAATCTGGAAATCCACATACTGAGGGTGCTCTACTGAAATCAAAGAAGCCCAAATCCCTAAAACAGAAAAAAGAAATACGTTAAAACACAGTATTTTAAGAGTCAAATGAGGTTATTGTAGATGAACATTTTAACGCTTCATTTACTCATAGGACACTTTTTTCTTTCTCTTTGGGCACTTCTATATATACTATAGGAGATCATGTGAATGACAGTGCAGAGATCTGCCTTCTCAATGAGCCTCTCAAGTTTTAAATATCAAATCTGAGTCTGGAATCCCAATTAAAAGTTTATATAATAGACTACAGAGAATGAAACTGCTTTCCAAATTGCATTTGCTTAATTTTTCCACATTATGGTTTAAAAACAATCTGTATACTTTTGAAAGAGACACAACAATTTACAGTATGAAAATAGGGCTATGTGAAACTGTACATACTTTCTCATAAAGTTGGACTAACAACTTCCAAAATGAAGATGCTTATGACAGAGTTGGTGGGAAAATGAGGTGGGGTGGGTGGTGCAAAACCACGAGGGGAAGGCACCAAAAAACCTGGAAACCACCAGTGGAAGGCACCGAAAACTCAGCTTTGTACTGAGTAGTTATATCTTAATCTCAACTTACGCAGGTCTCAATTTATTCCCTGGTAAGAAGAGGCAGATGGATCTCCAAGCTTCATTTAAATCCAAAGACTCTGAGAGTTTATAAGAAAAGATCTGAAAAACTTTTTGGACAATCAGTTGGATAAATTCCTCAGATTCTGACAGGGTCTGTCACTGTTCAACTCTCACAAAAATAACTATAAAGTAGATACCATAATTTTACTGTGAGAAAAGAAAAACAATCTACCTTTGTGGCAAAACTATACTTCATACCCTATTGATACACTACAACATAGAAAATAAATGTCTGTTCCTTTCCTGGTCTCTCGAAGCACTTCCTGAGACAGAATCACCTGAAAACCCTTAGGACTATGACTATGGCCAAAACATCTAGCCTGTCTTAGGGTGCCTGAATGGCTCAGTCAGTTGGGGGTCCGGCTCTTGGTCTCAGCTCAGATCATTATCTCATGAGTCATGGGATTTAGCCCTTTGGCAGGCTTCATACTTGGTGGGGAGTCTACCTGAGGATTCTGTCCCTCTGCTACTCACCCCGCTTGCACTGGTCTCCTCTCTCTCTCTCTCTAAATAAATCTTAAAAAAAAAAAAAAAGCCTAACTGTCTTTCTCTCTGCCTTCTCTGAGAGCTGCTAGATGGTTCAAAGTGAAATATCACCTAACAAGTACCCTGTACCCTACATGTCATACAGGAATTCTCGACTGCAGAGGAGATTGTGCTAGGGAATCATTTTCCTAATAAGTCTATCAAAATCCTGAGAAAAATCTAGCATTATTGGAAGATTATTAGAATAGACTAATGCACAGCCCTGGAAATAAAAACCTTATAGTAGCAGAGTCCTAGAGAACCAGAGAGTTGAACCACGTAGACTGATGATATCTCTGACTTACCCAAGTGTATTACCTATTTAAAGCTGTGACCAGTTAATAATTCTCATAGGCAGGGCCAAACTTTAGGTTAGAGTAAATACTCAAGAGCAGTTTAGGGCTGGGACACCTGGGTTGCTCAGTTGGTTAAGTGTTTGCCTTTGGCTCAGGTCATGATCCCAGAGTCCTGGGATCGAGTTCTGAATTGGGCTCCCTACTCAGTGGGGGGGCCTGTTTCTCCCTCTGCCTGCTCTGCCTGCTGCTCTCTCTGACCAAAAAAAGAAAAGGAAAAAAAAAAAAAAAAGATTAGTTCAAGGTTAAGACTCAATCAACCTTCAGGTTTAGGGAAAAAGAGAAGGAAGAGGTTTAAGGATCATACTGACCCCAGAAAAACAGGAGAGCAGCAAAGACATGTTGTACTGAACTCTCTCTACAACACATACCTTCCTCATAACCATCATGTAATACTATGAAATATCTTTTTGCATTGGGTGCTAACTTTTTGTTGTGAACTCTGTCTTCCAACCACAATCTCTGCAAAGAAAGACTGAATCAGGAGCAATGAGGGTACCTAAAAATGCTTCACAGAAGACTAGAGATGTTTCAGGCAAATGGAGACCTGTGTTTCTAGATAAGCAAAATGAGAGGTTTATAACATTAGATAACTTCCTTAAATTTCCTGTGGCTCTCACATTTTCATAATTTTATACAGATAATATACCATAATAAAGATTATTCATGCATATGACTTACTGTTTCTTTTTTAAAATATTTAGGGGTACAGCTGTGTTTTTCTAAATGTCTCATTAGTAATACTCAGTCTTATAAGTCTGGTTCCATAATAATCTATAATGTAGCTACTTCCATCTGAAGGTCCAACGATCTAGAAGAGAAAATTTTCAAAATTACCATTTTACAAAAGACATTTTCACAATACTGTGTGTTTACTCTGCTAGGTTGCTACTAAGTTACTTCAACAGCACCAAAATACAAGTTAAAGGAACTCAAGTAAAAAAAGCAACTTAGGGGCTCATGCAGCTGAGAAGGATATTGGGGAGGATCCCTGGATTAAAAGAGCCACAGGAACCAAAGCCTCAAGGACTGAAATTCCATGCCCCCTGAGGCCCTTGGTCTGGCCTCTGGGCCTTTTAGCTCTTCTGCCTTCATTCTGCAGAGAGGCACTCCCACTTGCTTGCCAACAGCTCCAGAGTCACATCTGCAAAGCTCAGCAGCTCACTGTAGAAAGAAAGTATAATCTTCTTCCTCAGTGTTTGTATACTAATTCCAGGGAAGGAATGATTTTGGGTTTTATGCCTACTGTTGGACAAATTACTACAGCCAAGGGAATAGGATTAATGTGATTGGCTATGCCAGTCCCTGTGGGAGGTGAGACAGTGTGACTGACCATCCTTCCAGAATCACAAGGAATGGAAGAGATAGAAAAAAACAATACAGGCTCATTACAGCCATCGTGTCCCCTTAATCACACTTCTGAAAATCCAGTTAACATGATCTCCACAAATTAAGGTAGCAATCTTCAAACTGTAGCCTAAGAGGCACACAAAGATTTACTAAGGTGTATGTGAACCCAGATGGTTTTAAGGAAATCAACTTTGAGATCCTTAATTCCCATCAATACTCTTTGTAAAAGTGATCCCCCTGATACCAAGTTATGGTGGAGGCATCATGCTAGTTCCTCTTCCCACTTCCCTCTCCCTGTGGTCCTTTCTCCAGGAGAACCTTGATGACAGTAAACCACACCTGCCATCAAACCAGGTATTATGATGGCACATCACCTCTGATGTGCCAAACCAAGAGATAATCAGGAAATCTCCCTTCAATCATTTTTTAAGATTTAATTTATTCATTTGAGAGTGAGAGAAAGCATAAGCAGGGGGCGTGGCAGAGGGTAGGGAGAAGAAGCAGGCTCCCCGCTGAGCAGGGAGCCCAACACGGGACTTGATCCCAGGACCCTAGGATCATGACCTGAGCCGAAGGCAGCAGTTTAATGGACTGAACCACCCAGGCACCTCAGGAAATCTCCTTTAATCAAGACTCCAAAAATATGCTCGCTCTGCTTTGTCTTTTTTTTTTTTTTTTTAAGATTTATTTATTTATTTATTTGACAGACAGATCACAAGTAGGCAGAGAGGCAGGCAAAGAGAGAAAGGAGGAAGCAAGGCTCCCCACTGAGCAGAGAGCCCGATGTGGGGTTCGATCCCAGGACCCTGGGATCATGACCTGAGCCGAAGGCAGAGGCTTTAACCCACTGAGCCACCCGGGTGCCCCTGCTCTGCCTTGTCTTGTTCAAAAGATGCATTCCCAGTTACATTTTACTTTTTTTGCTTAAAAATAATTTGCTAAATAATTTTTTTAATATGTAATATGCTTATGCTGTTTTGATCAATTGTGTATCAACAATTATAATGACAATCCAGTAATCACAGAAAATTTTATAAACTTTTAATGTTAGTGAATCATGAAAATCATGATAATGAAACGGATCTGTAAAAGATTTTTTAAGCATAAAAATATATTACATTAGAATAAAATTCTGTGGGAGAATGGAACTAGAAATACAAATTCAAGGAGAAAAAGAAACTGTAAAAATCACAATGGTTAGTGAAGGCTTCATTCATGTCTTTTTTAAATGAATGATATTTAAATTTCTATGGTATTTATATCCTGTTGGATACATTTTTAAATTGATGTAACAGTTTTATTTAAATATGTCAATATTTGCAAACCAGAAATTATATCCTTTGCAACTATTTAAACTTATGATGGAAAACTTAAATGTCAACTTAAAAACGTGTGGAGGGTAGGGATTTTTAAAAAAATTCTTTCAGGGGCTATACAACCAGAGTTTGAAGAACACTGTTGTAGCGCATGCTTTGCTTAAAAAATAAGTTTGGGGGGTGCCTGGGTGGCTCAGTCCTTAAGCATCTGTCTTCAGCTCAGGTCACGATCTCAGGGTTCTTGGATCAAGCCCCACAGCAGGTTCCCTGCTCAGCAGGAAGACTGCTTCTCCCTCTCCCTCTCCTTCTCCCCCTGCTTGTGTTCCCCCTCTTGCTGTCTCCCTGTCAAATGAATAAATAAAATTCTTAAAAATAAATTAATTAAATAAAAATAAGCTTGGTATTTAAAACTATTTGACAAATACTGACTACAACACTCCAGGCACTGTGCTAGGCATTACACATGTAACAGTGAATGAGATACAATCTCTGCCCGCAAAGAGCTTTTTTTTTTTAAAGATTTATTTATTTATTTGACAGAGAGAGAGAGAGAGAGAGAGATCACAAGTAGGCAGAGAGGCAGGCAGAGGGAGAGGGAGAAGCAGGCTCCCCACTGAGCAGAGAGCCCAATGCGAGGCTTGATGCCAGGACCCTGAGATCATGACCCGAGCCGAAGGCAGAGGCTTAACCTACTAAGCCACCCAGGCGCCCCCCCGCAAAGAGGTTATACTAGTGAACTATAAATATTAATATTCAAATAACACAAAGCACTTTTGTGCTAAATACCATGCTGGGTACTGTTATGCACTTTGACTTATTTGCCAAAGATGAAACTAATTTGGTTTGACATTTATGAATGTTATTTAAGAATTTAATAAAACCTTGGGGCACCTGGGCAGGTCAGTGGGTTAAATATCCAACTCTTGATTGTGGCTCTGGTCCTGATCTCAGGGTCATGGGATCAATCCCCACGTCAGGGTCCATGCTCAGCTGGAATTGGCTTGAAATTCTTTCCCTCCCTCTCCCTCTGCTCTCCGCTCCCCGCTCTTTCACTCTCAAATAAATAAATCTTTTTTTAAAAAGTGAAGAAAAAAAAAAAAGAAATTTATTAAAACCTTTTCAATGGTCAAGGTCTCAAAGGAAACTACTCTCAGCATTAAGATGAAAAGGAGAACAATGAGTAACTACGAGTCACACCATGTTTTGAGACTGTACGAGGGGAACAAAGAAAAAGTAAAGCCCATGGGGCGCCTGGGTGGCTCAGTCGGTTAAGCGTCTGCCTTTGGCTCAGGTCATGATCCTAGGACGCATCCCGCATTAGGCTCCCTGCTCAGCAGGGAGTCTGCTTCTCTCTCTCTCTCTCTCTGTTCCTTCCCCAGCTCATGCTCTCTCTCTCATTCTTTCTCTGAAATAAATAAATCTTCAAAAAACAAAAAAGAAAAAAAACAAAAAGTAAAGCCAGCCTGTAGAAACAAATCAAATCATATGGCAAAAAAAACACTGCCTAATTAGGAATATGTGCATAGTTTGGAACCAGGCTTTTTGTCCCATTCTCTTTTTCTTCCTTTGCCATCTCCCCTACAACCACACTTACTCTTGTTGAAAAAAAAAAACATTCAAGGTTGGAAATAAGGAAAATAAATTAGGTGACCTTTTCATGTCATGCAATTCTAATAAACCTACCTGAGGCTCACTTGCCTCTCTTGGGAAATGTAAAACTAACTAAAAACCAATTAGGACCCATATGTTTTACAATCTTGTAAAGTTAGTAGTTAACATGTAGAAAAATAACAAGGTGTTGTTTTGTGTTTTTGTTTTGTTCCCTCTGTTCTGTAGAGAAGATAGCCCCAAAGGATACAGTTTTATTACCTGGGAATACATGATCCAACTCTGTATCTAACTTAGCCATTTTCATACCATTCCCTCCCCTCAAACTCTGTGATTGTGGCTCCTCAACACCACCAATTCTAGCAAAGGAATTCCACTCCTCCTTCCAGAGACTGGTTCTGCCTGGGCACGGAATCTAATTCTGGCCAACGACCAATGATGCAAGTTCACTGTTGGCATATTTGCCCTTAAGAAGGTATGTGTACGTCGGGTGGGGGGGAGGGGCAGGGAATGGATTTTTTCTGCCTCTGGAAGTCACTATATAATGAAGTGATCCAAACCAAAGGATCTGAAGATGGCAAAGAGAAAGAAGGAAGGAGAGAGGGAGAAATAGGAGGGAAGCAAGGGAAGAGAATGGGAGGGAGGGTCCATAATGTCTTTTAGCTCTAAATTAACAAATCTTAAAACTACCTTATCTCTAGATTCTTGGTATGATATAGTCAACTACCGTATTTTTTTTTTAAGATTTTATTTATTTATCTGACAGACAGAGATCACAAGTAGGCAGAGAGGCAGGCAGAGAGAGAGGGGAAACAGGCTCCCTGCCGAGCAGAGAGCCTGACACGGGGCTCGATCCCAGGAACCTGAGACCATGACCCGAGCCGAAGGCAGAGGCCCAACCCACTGAGCCACCCAGGCGCCCCACTACCGTATTATTAAAGCAAATTTAGGAGCACCTGGGTGGCTCAGTCGTTAAGTACTGTCTTTGGCTAGGGTCATGATCCCAGGGTCCTGGGATTGAGCCCTACATCGGGTTCCCTGCTCAGTGGGAAGCCTGCTTCTTCCTCTCCCACTCTCCCTGCTTGTGTTCCCTCTCTCACTGTCTTTCTCTCTGTCAAATAAATATACAAAAATCTTAAAAAAGAAAAAAAGCAAATTTAAATTGAGGTTTCTGTTATCTATGGCCAAAAACACCTGATAATGCACTAGTTTTCAGTGTCTCCTCTACACTACTGCCAGATCACCAAAGCACAGCTCTTGTTGCTATTCTCTGCTAAAACAATTTGAACAGCTGCCTCCAAGACAACCAAATTCAGTCACTGTGGGAAAGCTCTAGAGGAAAGGAGAACTGGAAGAGAAAGCTGTCAATAACTAGCTGGAGGGAGCCTCTCTGGATCTCAGGTTTTTGTATCCCATATAAAGAGGAATAAAATAATCTATATCTGATATATATATATAAAATAATCTGATATATATAATTATATATATAATCTATCTATATATATGTAATCTATATATATATATATATATATATAAT